GTGGCGCAGGAAAGATCCTGGCAGTTATCACTTTGTGTAAACACAGGAGAGCAAAGACAGCTTCTTATCAGGCCTGAGCTGAAAGTCCATCTGTGGATCAGGATTGGCAGAGGCCCAGCAGGGACTTCCTCAGGCACACCCAGCTGGGGTTTTGCTGTGGGCCCAGAGCAGAGGCTCAGAATGGGCCATTGCCAGCTGCGGTACCAACCCAAAGCCTCGCTGAAGATATTCAGAAGCAGGTGAGCCAGCGCGGGCTTACAATGCCACCAAGTGGAACAAACAACAAGTTTGCTCTGAGTTCCAGGACTGCCTGCACAGTCTGACCCTGTCTTCAGAAGGACTGAATTAGGGCTGGGGAGCAGCAGCCCTGCCTGCCCACCAAGCACGAGGCCATGAGTTCCATTTGCAGTAGGGAAAATAAAAAATGAATGAAAAAGAAACTCGAAGGGACAGCAGTGGCCCCTAATTGCAGCATTTATTTCTCCAATTCTCCCCCAGTCTTGGCCATTGAACCCAGAGCTTGGGCCCAGGCGGCCACACCCCATCCATCCTTCCAATTCTGTTTCTCCATTCTAGGTGACATAGTCCGTGATTCCAATGCCGCAGATGACCCTCCCAGGGAGCCCTTGGTCCACTGTCCGATGACCTCAGTCCCGTTCCCCCATACACCCAGCACACTGCACGGGTCCTGGGATTCCAGACAGGTTCTCCGTGGGCTCCGGCAGCTTCCAGAAGGCCCCGGGCACAGGCTGCACCTCGCAGCTCCCTCTTGGCCTGGCTGGCGCTCAGCAGCAGCAGTGTCCTTGCACGGTACAGGCCGCCATCTTCTGCACACAGGATCCTGTCTTCGCCCATCCACGACCACAGAGTCCCCCCTCGCTGTTGCAGGGCACCCCCCCCCCCCTGCTCTGCGTAGTCAGGCCGGACTCAGGGGCACAGGGAGCTCCAGAAAGCCGAGCACCCGGACCACAGCAGCAGAACACCTTGCAGCAGAGGCAGGGAGACAGGCCCGCTGAGGCGGGTCGCCAGGTCCGGGTCGGCAGGCAGCGGCTGCCCCCTGGCCACGGCCACCAGGTCCCCCGGGCACAGCGGGCCTCTGCGCACCCGCCCCAGCAACACCAGGGCGCGGGCCCGCTCCCTGGGCTCCGCGCTGCCCACGCTGCGCACCAGCTCCTGCAGCCAGCGCAGCTCCCCTGGGGGCCCCACCACGGTGACGCGGGTGTGGCCCTCCGGCGTGGCCCAGGCCTCCAGCTGGATCAGCGTGTGGCTGTGCTCCTCCAGGCGCCGCAGGTCGGCGTCGCTGCGCCCGAACACCAGCTCCTCCTGTTCCGCGTCCACGAAGAACACCAGGGGCCTGTGGAAGTGCTCAGGCTCCATCCACCAGGCTCGTCCTTCGTCTCTAGAGCCTGTCTCCATCGGGGCTCTGCTCTGGGACACCTGGGGCTAGGGGAGAGAAGGCATGGTAGTCAGATGGGGCTGGGCCTTGGAGGGCAGGGCAGCTGCACCCCAAGGGAAGCCTGTGTCTCCAGGGAAGAGCACGCTGGCACTGCATGGCCTGGGCCCATAGAGGCTGCAGAGACGTCAACCACTCCGGGGGAGACCAGGCCATCCGGGGACCCCTCTTGCCACTGACCTTCTTCCCCTCGCACCGTTAACATTAAGTGGCTATGCTTGCCTTCTACAGGTTGCTCGGGGTCGGACCCACTGGTCTCCACCCTGGGATGCGCTGCTCACCTCTGGGTTCTACTCTCTCAAATGCCTTGGAGAAGCTGGCTGCCTTGTGGCCACTTGCCTTTTCGGGTGTTCTGGCTTTCTCTTCTCCACTCTATCTCAAACTTGGCCTGTACAACCTTCTCTGTTCCTCAGGATTCACTTGTTGATTTGGGGATCCTCAACTCCAGGACGGGTGCTGTATTTCCTTCCCCTGTTTCACCAAGGTGGGGCAAATTAGCTTGGAGCTCCGGAGGCTGCTGCCTCAGCTCCAGTCTGTGACTGCTAAACCCCACTGCCTGAGCTCCTTTTTAAGGGTTGAGAACGGTGGGTGTGGTGGGCCGCCCATCTAATCCCAGCACTCAGGAGGCTGAGGCAGGAGGATTACTGTCAATTGGAGGTCACCCTGGTCTACACGGTGAGCTCAAAGCTAGGCTGAACTACATAAGGATACCCTGTCTTCAAAACTCAAATAAATAATAATAATAGTAATAATAATAATAATAATAATAATAACAAAAAGGAGGACAGGGAAGTTGACTCAGTATAATAAGCACTTGCCTGGTTGCCTGGCAAGTGCAAGGGTCTGAGTTCAATCCCTGGTTCTGAGAAAAACAAAAAACAAAAACCCCTCAAATAAATGACAGGATTATTGGTAGAGAAGCGCTGTTTGCCTTTTTAAAAAATTTAATTTAGGGGCTGGAGAGATGGCTCAGTGGTCTAAAGCACCTTTCTTGGAACAAGCTTGGCAAAGCACAGGGACCTCGGTTCAATCCTCCAGCACCACATGCCAGCCAGCCGCACCCCCTGGTGGGCTGAGCTGGCCACACACACACACACACACACACACACACACACAAAATAAATGTTAAAATAAAAAAAATTAATTTAACTTCATTTTAATTTGTATTTTTGGAAGCAGATATTTTGTTAACTGACCAAATCATAATAACACCATGGCAGATACCTTAGTTCATCCTTCCAATAAGCCTGCTGATTTGGTCTTCCCTATTTCTACCATCTCCACCTTCCACAAAACGGGTGGCCTTTTCCTTCATTCCACCTCGTGGAGTTGATAACTTGAATGGCCGCAGGAAGTTATTAGCCTCTTTGAAGCATTTTCCAGTGTAGATCTCATGGATCAGATCCTCCATGAAGATGGTGCCGTATTTACCAAGAGATCGGTACCAGGGATGGAACTCAAGACCTTGTGCTTGCCAGGCAGGCACTTAAGCCGCTGAGCTATATCCCAGCCCCATGCAATTCGCTTCTTATGGACTTTGCTATAGCCACGCTTGTATATTAGTTCATTTACTGACTTCAGGTCTGGGTGCCCCCATACAGTTGTGGCTCCCCATTTCTCAGCATGTTAACTGAAGCCTTATTGAGCTTAATGAAGGTACCATTGAAGACTTGGCGAAGGGGAAGAAGCTGTAGCAGCCTGTGGACCTTTGGGTTCACACCATTGATACCCTGATCTGGATGACAAATGCCAGTTTGGGCTCTTTTTTTTTTTTTTTTTTTTTTTTTTTGGAACTGGGACTGAACTCAGGCCCTTGCATTTGCAAGGCAAGCGCTTATTCTACTGACCCATCTCCCCGGCCCAGCCAGTTTGGGCTCTGCGGGGACACAGACGTTGCCAGCTTTTCTCGCCATCCTAGCCCTTTGGATCTCAGTTCTGTACATCCGTCTGTACTCCTTAGGATAGTGCCTGGCTTTTCCTCACCTTGTGAGGCATCTTCTGATCACACTTCTTTCTCAGGCGCTTTGTTTTCTTTTCTTTTTTTTTTTTTTGGCGGAACTGGGGATTGAACTCAGGCCCTTGTGCTTGCCAGGCAAGCGCTTATTCTACTGAGCCATCTCCCTGGCCCCTGGCGCTTTGTTTTCAACTCTGTGAAATGTCTTCACTTTTTCTTAAGGGTTTCTGGCACAGCAGGAAATTTCTTTTTCTTCCCTTTGACATCCTCATGGTTCTAGCCGTGAAAGAGGGTAGTTTGACATTTTAAAATTTTAGTTTTTCTATCTCTGTCTTTCTCTGCCTCTGTCTCAGTCTTGGTCTCTCTGTATGTCTCTGACTCTGCCTCTCTCTCTTTTTTTTTTTTAAGACACCATTTTGATGTCCCTTGGGCTGGCCTTGAACTTACTCTGAGGTTGGCCTAGAACTCATGAGGCCCCTCCTGCCCGAGATTAGAGCCTGGGAAAAATCTGGCTGGGGAAGAAGGCTGAGTGACCTATTAACTACAGGCTCCCTGACAGGGATGCACAACAGTTCCAACAGCCCTGCATGTGGACTTCGCCCAAGAAGTCGAGCAGGTTTCCCACAGGCTGATCTAGACCTGGCCTCAGCCTGAGGCGTGGGATCCCAGCACTGCCTCTCAGAACCAGGTCATGCAAGTTCTCTCCTGTTTCCTTGAGATTTAGATAGTGCACAAGGACACACGGAGGCCGTGAGGATTTTAACAAATATTTTCTGTGGTGGGTCCACACTGTGTTTCCCAGATTCTGCATGCACTTTGCTCCCTACGCTCTCCCTCCTTTTCTCTTTCTTTGACCCAGGTTGGCTCTGCAGAGCCCAATTGTCCCCCATTCCTTCATTTACTTTCTCCAAGAATTTTGCCATTGGCTTTTGCTCCTTTCCTTCAGTTCTTTGAATAACGCAGGAGCCTGGAATCCTACCCCAGGAGAGACACGAACCCCAAAACTAACAATGTTTAGTCGACGAGCCACTTTTTAGAGGCAAAATACTCCATAATGGAACCTACTAGATAGAATGCCACCACTTTGGTTCATGACTGAAACTGGTTTGTAATGAACAATAGGCTACAAGATGTTTTCAAATACACTCATCATGAAATACACGTAAGAAGTTCTATGGGCAACAGGAGTACCACTCAAAACTATATTTATCATGACATCTCACTCTCTGAAATAAAAGCCTTCCTAACATGACATTATCATTCTACTTGTCAAAATCAAAAAGATTTTTGGAGAAGTGACAGTGGTAACATCAAGAATGCTAGAATAATCACGACACCCAAGAGATTTGATTTCTTCAAAACTGCATGTGTTTGAACAACAGAAAGATCCACCAAGAATGACAAAAGAAAATGCAATCCTAGGGAGGCCACTAGGCACTCCTTCTTAGAAAGCTTTGTTTGAAGCTGTCAAGCAATTTATACACCTTCTGAATGCATGAGAGTTGGCAAATAACTTGCATCATCTCCTCGTTGCTCAAGTTTTCCTAAATTTATGGCAAATAAGCCTTCCAGTCTGCTCTGAAAACAAATGCCCTGGTAAATGCAAAGGCATTTGACACCTTGAACATAGACATTTCTCCTGGCACTCAGCTACCAGGTCTGTGTTCACCCAGCACTACACTGTAAGACACTGTGAGCAAGGCCGGGGAGATGGCTCAGTGGATAAGTTTAAGTGCTTGATTGGCTAATCCAAACTGAGGGTGGTGGCACAGGCTTATAATCCCCATATCTGAGGAGCTTGGGGCAGAAGCCTCAGTGTAACTATGAGATCAGTCAGGGCTACCTGAGGGACTACAAGGCCAGCTTCAACAGCATAGTGAGACACTGCTAACCAGCCAACAAACAAACATCAAATGTCACATTTGATGATGGGTTCAGGACGCATTCATTGATGTTGTCTTGCTAAAGAACAAACCACCAGGCCCCCAGCACAAAAACTATTCACGAGATTAATGTGGAGAGTCCTGGAAAAAAGGCTGCACGTTCACACTAGGGAAATGTGCAGCACAGGCTATAGATTTCACGAAAGCATAGCCTTGCCTCCTCTATGATTAAGAAAATCAAAGTCATAGTGACACTGTCCACTGGACACCATGATGATAAGGTTGACAGTGAGACTGGGCATGGTGGTGCATTGCTGTTATTCCAGCACTGGGGAAACTGAGTCAGGAGGATCCTGCAGGTTCAAGGTAAGCCTGTGCCATACCATGAGTTCCAGGCTGGCCTCATAGTGGGGAAAACATACATAGTGGGGAAAAAAACAAGTAATATGTTCGTCTCTTGAGAAAAGGACTCTATGTGCAGGTCAGGCTGGCCTTGAATACAGCATGGAGGCCAAGTGGACTTAGAAATCACAGTGATCCTCCTAACTCCGTATCCCCAGTGCTGAGATTACAGGGGCAGACCATCACCTTTGGCAACCAAGTAATACTTATACTGTTAAGAGGATACCATGATGAGAATACGGACAGTAAATCCATGTGAGCTAGTGCACAGCAGTGATCCCAAAACTAAGGAGGCTGAGGCACGAGAATCCTGCATTGCCGGGTGAGCCCATGCTACCTGGTGAGTAGAAGGCTGGCCTGGACTACGGAGTGGGAACTTCTCTCCAAAGACAAACAACAGAAAACAAGACTGACAGTGAATTCTGCAACACAAAGGAAGCCAGCTAGGGTCACATTTTAAAATTAATAGAAGGCAGGGGCTGGTGAGATGGCTCAGTGGTCTAAAGCACCTACTTAGAACAAGCTTAGCAAAGCACAGGGACCGCAGTTCAATCCCCCAGCACCACATGCCAGCCAGCCCCGCCCCCTGGTGGGTTGAGCTGGCCACACACACACACACACACACACACACACACACAAATAAATAATTTTAAAAATAAATAAATAAATAAAATTAATAGAAGGCAGAGTAGATATTGATGTCTTGATGTCACTTGAAAAACAA